GATACTTCCCATCACATTAAAGAAAGGGTGAGTAAATTTCAAAATGTATCTGCATATTTCTCTTTGATGGTTTATTTATATTGGTCTCAGAAGCTCTTGTACTTTCTTTGAGGGAATTTATGCAACTCAAGTCAAATAATTAGTTTGTTTTGCTTATTGTTTAGTACAAAAAAAGTAAATTTAATTAACTTTCTCTTCAAAGGTTTGTGTTAATATGGTGGAAAAGAAAATATTCGTTTCATACTTCGAACTAGTAGTAAACCAGTTTTATTCCAAATGAAATTAATCACCTTTCTAAAATAAACAGTTCCCTTTTTCAACCAACGTTTTTGAAAAAAAATGGTAATGCCTTTTTTTAATCGACTAGTTTCAAGATCTAGTAATCGTATTTGCCAAGCATTGATGTTAAACTTGGGAGCACTGGGAATGAAGGAACACAAGGAAGCTGTTTCGTCCTAGTTTGTAACTCATCAGAGGATTGTATCCTAGTGTTAACAGCCTTTAATAAGCGTAACTAGCGTTATACAACTCAGTTATTGTTTCAGCATTCAGCAGTGTTTGTGATATCATTTGTGATGGGTGGGGTGATAATATAAAGAAGGTTTTACTTTTTGTTTAGTCAACAATGTCTGAGGAAGGAGGTATGTGATTATTTGTCCCTTTTGACTGTTTTGTTAGTGATTTCCCACATGCTTCTCTGTATCATTTATTAAACCTCATGTCAAAACCTTATGGTTATCATTTTCATCGTAATTTGATAAACTGGATTCACCTGCTGATCAACCTGACCATTAAGGTATTAGAATTTCTCTGACATTCTTTATATTTCTTTCATTTAGCATCTATATATTGTATCAGTTGAACTCCTCTCCACATTTGTTTATGTTCACTGACATAAAGAATAATACATTGTGATCCTGAGATTCTCAACTGATGTCTCTGTAAATAAGGGAGAATTGGATTGTTGTTTTCTGCAGTGTTGTGATTTTTAGCGCGTATACCAGTTAACTTCGTAAATAATATCTAATCCATCCTCTCTAATCCTTCGGTTGGAATAATGTAACCAATACAGCATTTTTACGTTTATGATATACACCAACTGCAAACTGCCCAAATTAGTTAGCTGACATTAGTCTACACTTCTAATGTCACCGACCGAAATGTTCACTGCCACCCACTGCATCCTCTAGACATCTAACAAAATTTACGCGGTGGAAGGGCTTCAATAGGTTTCTCACTGAAGCCTAAGGGGGCTAGGTCTGAAAAATGGGTCGGAACCGGCGGATCGTTGTGACTCACACATTGTGAACTGTGTCATTTAACTTCCCCATTCTTCAATCAAAGAAGATGGTGACGAAAATTAGGGGTTTTTTTATTCTGACAAACTATAGGTTTTACAGTTCACTCATGACAAATAATGTTTGACTTACTTGGTAATAGTCCGGAGAAAAAAGATTGCGTCAGCTGGTGTGCAGCTGTCTGAAGAAATACTGCATCACACCAGCGGGAGTTCTTGAACCAATGGTCCAGTTCTTTGAAGTGGCTGCAGGGCTGGTAGCACTGTGTGTCAGCATGGCACACCTTTCAGGTTCACTTCTTTTCAAACATGGAACGCTAACGGTATAATTGATTGTGATGAACGGCGGGAGGTGATTCACAGAACTTTTATTTCTGTTAAAGAAAACTGTGCGCGGGACTGAGTAGGCATACTTATAAGCCTACCAGTCACCGGATTTTGCGTGCCAGGGGGGTGACTGGTCAAACCGCAGATTCCAGCTTCTTGTAGGCAAATGAACCAGTGAATGGCATCTGTCAGCCCACAAGGGTTTCCGAACCATATGAACTTTGAATCCAAAAGTAATATTCATGTTGGACATGCAGTGAAATCAATTTATTTTTATTCAGGCAGACTGTTTCTTAAGGCTGTCTGCAGGATGAAGTTTGGTAGCAACCTGAAGGTCTACTCTCTTGGGCTTATCCAGGCTATTGCGCCGGAGGTTCTTTCTATATTTGAGTCCAAGGTCGTTTTACTACGACCTGTTGGCCGCTTACCTGAGTAGTCATTCTCTTTTCATTCACGAAAGGACACTTAAGTGGCATTTGCACACCCACATGACACCTGGGCATAATCACTATCGGCTGAAGTGAACTTAAGATCAAGCCAGCGGCTGGGTCTCTTTTCCGATTGAATCCCAACTCTGATTCGGAGGTTGGTGGTTCGGATCCTGCTTGGCTCAAGTTTTCATCTCTCTCATAACCATCGTCCCTATGAAATGCCCACAACCAGTGGATGACAGCGTGAACTACCATCAATGTGTGCGGTTCACCTGTTACTGAAGCTGCTCAAACGATGTTGAGCACAAATTCCGCTTACAAATGTTAGTTAAAGAACTTTTTTATTCTGAGTAGGATAAGTGACCTATCTTTAGCATAGGCCTACTTGAAGAACAGATGGGAGATATTTTATCAATATCCAACCATACCTTCATTAACTTAGGGAAAGATAGGCATCTGAGTGCCACGACATGCTCTTCACCCGAAAGTTAACTGGTTTGTTAAGGGTGGTATCGACAAATTCTCCGCAACCGTGCCTTCAGCTCATCACCCCTAGTTGGAATGAATAATTTCACTCACAGAGTAAATTCAGGGAATTCGCTCTGACTGAGCTCATACAGTAGACACTTAGGTTGAAGTGAGAATGAAAATACAAAAATTGAGGGGCCACACGATGAAGCAGGGCATGATTTCGTCTCTCTTCAGGTGGTTAGGTGGTGTGACAAATTTACAACGGACCTGAGGAAATATTTGTCGATGCACACAAGCTCCAGCCTGTTTTGCAATTTGATTCCCAAAGAGCCTAAGTCAACTGGACAACACACAAGTTAAATAGCCATCTCAACTCCTGAACGTCTTAGGTCATCTCACCTAGAAACCATCGAATACCGGGCAGCCACTGAGGCAGAATGTTTCCTCAGCCATCGAATAAATCGCTTTTGACGTTGGTAGCATGGCATCTTACAAAATATAAATCTGACGTTTGGTTAGCAGGTAATCGATAAGTGCGACCTATTTCCTTCTGCGTTTCTTTTACTTTAGAGCACTTAGGGGGAGGTTTTGAATCCCATCACCCACTTTGAAGAAGATATACTCTAGTTGTATGTGTTTCTTCTTTCATCACAGTTACGTCTAGTAATTTCTCAGGTGAGGTGAGATGTAACCCACCGAATAAACACGAATTCCATGTGGGCAAACGAATGCTTTATGCCCATGGGATTTGCAGCGACAGCTCAAATCACAAGTTTTGGCCTAATGACAAGTACTTAATTGGGATGCCGCCCGGTTCATCTGTCTTTGCATAACACAGCTACTAGACAGTAGCTGGTTCAGCGTTTAGGTTTCAAACATTTGACACGTCCGCGTAGATTTGTGGGCGGCGCCAATTTAGCTTCATGGTTCATCACAGTGGGTTACAGCTGGCCAGTATTCTTGAAGACTTGAGACGGTAAGTTTGAATCAAAAATGTATACCACCGCCGAGCTCATAAAGTTTTGTCTGTGCCGTTTCATTTGCACCTACGACCTCTTCCATGGCTGATTGGCGACTTAAAGTGGAGTTGTGGTCGGTTCCGGGCCGGACGATCTCGCAGTTGAAGGCATATGTCTTCAATTTTTGCAGACCATTGATGTCGTCGAATTTCGTGAATTCCACACGGATCTGTTTCCTCGACAAATTCACTCCTATATGGTACCGGCAGCAATGTAGTTTCCCCAAAACACGTACTGCTCTTAAGAAACACCCTCCATGAATACAACTTTCCAGTGTACGGAAAAGTCGTCAAAAATTGTATTCATGGCCATTTCGTTAAATATCCTTATTCGCAGTACCGCTCAAATAAATAATACGCGTCAGTATTCTGAAACGGAATCTTGAAGCTTCGCGCGCCAACTTTCACATTAGTTTTCATGGTAGTTCAACCCGATTTCACTAGATAACTTATTGTGAATATATGGACAGTGCCGAGCATCTGGAGCTGAGATACTGAAATGACCAAGTGTACTTGTGCGGGTCGATCAAGTAGCAGCATTTCTCTAATTTCCTAACTAACATGGTGTTAGATCCTACAAGATAGTGACAGTGAGCATACATATTTCGGTGGCTCTTTACCTTAAAAAGCTATTTTTAAGGCTGAGGTACAGGCACAACTAAATTCAGGACTTACTCATCACATCGGGAAACCAGATCAAAACTTGAATGAAGAATAAGAATGGAAAAACTTCTATTCAGTCAAATGAACCCGAAATTATAGAGCGGCGGATGTCCCTCCTGAAAAAAACAGGAAAGCAGAGATGTCATGCTTGAGTGCAGTTTGTCATCGCCTTACTGTGACTGATATAGTCTTTTGGAGAGACACTTGGCCAGGTGAAAGGTAGTGCCTGCGAGTAAGACCTGATTGGCATATCGCTACCATAGCTTGGGCTTGCCAAGTTCGATGATGCTACCAGGGCTTCATGAAGATTCACTGGAATTTTTAATCCAGCAGTCGCAGAACACCCCTGAGGTAGCATAGAAAGCGTTATTTACCTAATTCACTGCTAAAAAGATATGGCTAGGGAGGTTATCGACGATAGTTGTTCGGTCTCCTTCTGTCGTTCTTTTGTGTTCTTAAGTCTTATTTCTTTTCAAGAGGCCTGACGAGCCGTTTGGTGACAAGATGTTAAATAATTTTGGCAGTATCGAAATCCCAAAACAAATTATGTATTTCCGTCAAGCTTACGCAAATATTCACTCTCCCAATGTATTTGCCAAAGCTGCTAAAAAACGGTACTATTATCTTCAAAATGAAAGTCTGCGAGGGACCCTAAACTGTTCTGCAGCCTTAGAAGTTTCCATGAATAGTAGATGAACTATTGGACATATGCTGTTTGAATATACTACGTGCGCGAGGTATCTAGACGCATAGCCGACAAGCACAATTTCAAAGTGCCTAGATTCATCTAAGCATGGCAACTTTCACGTGTAGGGTATATTTTCTGGATGACAGAGATCCATTCTCATGTAATTCTTTGTCATTGCTCGAACCAATAAAACCTGTCTCCTTCACATTTCTGATGGAGCTTCCACTAAGCAGTCAGTTACCAGCAATTCACAAAATTCTACGACCCCCACATCGAGTAAATTCTTCTTACGTGAAAACATTTTTTTATTTAAGCTCGAGGATAGTGCACTGCAGCTGTATAAGTTCGGACAGGCGCAATCAGAATTTGGGTCTTATTTGGATCTTGATTCAACATTACAAGAACAGTGGGAAGACTTGGAAATATCTGCTGACCAGTAAGTTACACTTCATTTGTGCCGATTCAAATTGGTCTGTTTATTCCTTAGTTTTCATAGTTATTGCAGCAAAATGTAAAGTGTTCACAAATGATTTGATAAAATGGCAATCTAACAGACTGCCTCACTATTGATTATACAAGAGCCTATTATTTGCAGAAAGCCTTTATTTTTAAAAATCTAAACATGGGTTCACATGAGTATCCCGGCTTTTCAATTCCTACTGTAACTATTGATAGTAGTATTCAGTGTCATTTTATAACATGGGGGAAGTTACTTAGTGTACAAATCGTACACTGATGAAGCGAATCCTAGTTATTATTATTACTATTACTTGCTCCTTGGGGTCCTAGGGCTACTTCCTATAGGCTCAGTAGCACGTCGCCATTTCACTCTGTTCTCTCAATTCAACCTGGCTCCACGACTACCCAGAAGCTTTCATTTCTTCCTCACATGATCTCCTCCATATCACCCTTGGCCAGGACGATCAACTCGTCGTTTCCCCTTTGCATCCCACTCAAAAGTCTCGCCTAGTGCGTGATGTATCCAATCGGTCTTCTCAGTGTATGTCACATCCAATCCATCTCCACTTTCTCCTGCGTATTTGTTGGGCGATAGGTTGTTGGTTGGTTCGTTGCCAGCCAGCCAGCCAGCAATAGTTCCTTGTTGCTTATTTTTCCTGGCCATCTGATCTTCAGTATTGAGCTTAGGCACTGATGAGGCCAATCCCAGTTAAGGAATGGAATGATATAAAAGATTTGTAGCTCAGGATAAGATTGGTGGAAGTTTAGTGTTCTCTGAGCTTTGATATTTTGAAGTTATATGCATTTGATACTTGTGAAGTCCTAGACATGAGCTGCAATTACAACCATATTTCGATAACGATTTTACGTCGTCTTTGACGAACTGTGAGTTCAGCGACGTGGAATTCTAACTGACCAACGATGCAAAAGTTCAGGAGAAAGTGTACAAGCAAAACGAGCACTTTGGGGAAGTATATTTCCAACCTAATAAAGGTTTATACAGAAGGCTTTGTTATGTATTTTTATTGGCCTTTTAGTCTCTGGAATATAGGAATGAATTTCAGCTGGTGTATTTTAATATTACGGTAGGCAGTAGATCTGTTTGTAATGCTGGCTTTGCTGTTAACATCAAAGAGAGTATATCTGCTGGTAGTACACATATAGTCTTTGTTCTCTGGGTTTTAGGTCACTGTCTAAATAAAATCACCAACCTAGACCGAAAGTGATCTGGTTGTATATGTTTTGCATATTAGTAATGAAAATAAATGGAAATATCTTCTGCTTCTTGTTGCGTATGGTAGACCTACAGTATTAATGTACATCATTCATCTTGTAGCAGAGGAAAACACGAGTAGATGGAACCAACCACGACAAACACCATCTATATAATGAGCCAAGAAAATTAAAGGCCTTAACGTTTTGGGCCTTCTCAGACTACTTCATTTTATTAGTTTCACTCATTAAAAGTTATCTAGCACCGTCTTGGTCACGCTGATAATTGAAGCTATCGCTACATTATTTGGCAAGGAGTTTTAGAGATTGTCAACTGTATCAGAATAGGTAGTCCGGGGGTTTATCGGAAATGTCACACCAAAGCAGTATTATTTGCTGAAACGTTTCGGACATATTGTCTACACTCATGTCGTGATACGAAACTTAGTCGACTGATATGGCTTGGACATTTACTGCTCACGCCGAGCCACCGCCCACCTCGACATACCATTCTAGGGGAATTCGGATTAGGTTGGGAGAGAGTTTAGAATGACCCAACCAAAACGTGGCACCAGTCCGCAAAGTTTCTTACTGCTTGTCTGATACATGTGACGAGATGTAGACTACATTGTTGGGGTCCCCAAAACTACAGGGATCAGAGGTTGAGGACTCTTAATGATATGGCTGGAAATCTGCCACAATGATGCGGATGTATTCACTTGTTGACATCTTCTTAAGCTTAAATATTGTACTGACCATTATTTTCAGATTATTTATTCTCTCATACAACTTTGTCTACTTTGGAATCACTTTTTCTATCCATCTGTTCTTTGTATACTACTGTGAGGTGTGGCAACTTGAGCCGATGCACTTTTGTTCAAGGTTCTACGTTAATTTTGCCTGTCAGTCAATCACTCAGTCGACTTCACTACTGATATTGTCGCTTCCTCACTGTTTCCCAACTCAGATAGCAATACTACTTTGAAGGGGGTACTGTTATTGTTAAACAGTCACTCTGAATAAAATGAAGATATTTTAGACAACCCAACTTTTGATGACATCATCATGGCTTTCTCCCATGTCTTTTATTTATTCTTAATTCCTTGTACTGAAAAGTGTTGGAGAAGAATCAGACAGATATGAATGCGTAATTCATGCTTTAGGTTGACAAGTGTTGGACTTTGGATTCTGTTTTTGATTTCTTTATCTTGTATGTATGTCTGTGTTAACGATGGGAATTACTTGTTTTTGAAAAAGACTGGATTAAATCCAGTCCTTTGATAATGTTTCAAACTTTGAAATATTAGTGGACTAGTATCAGTCCACGAAAGCATTTCCAACAAACTACAGATATAAGTCAACAGCTGCCGCCTACGCCCACTCGATACTGAAGATCAAATGGCCAGAAAAAATAAGCAACAAGGAACTATTGCTGGCTGGCTGGCTGGCAACGAACCAACCAACAACCTATCGCCCAACAAATACGCAGGAGAAAGTGGAGATGGATTGGATGTGACATACACTGAGAAGACCGATTGGATACATCACGCACTAGGCGAGACTTTTGAGTGGGATGCAAAGGGGAAACGACGAGTTGATCGTCCTGGCCAAGGGTGATATGGAGGAGATCATGTGAGGAAGAAATGAAAGCTTCTGGGTAGTCGTGGAGCCAGGTTGAATTGAGAGAACAGAGTGAAATGGCGACGTGCTACTGAAGCCCTGTGTTCCACTAGGAATCCTAGAGACGAATTATATAATAATAATAATAATAATAATAATAATAATAATAATAATAATAATATCAGTCTCATTATGCCTGTTGCAATACAATAAGTGGCACTTTTATTCAATCACATACCATCTAAGCAGTTCATTGTTTTTCTCATGACGTTCCATGCATGGGCATATAGCGGATTCTACCTCAGATATGGTTAGACAATCTACAAAATCACAGAAATGCTCATGTTAAGCTCACAGATAAATGTATACCATTAATAAACTGTCAGTTTGAATATGCATAGTTCAGGATAATGTTTTTTAAATTATTTTACAGGGAAAACAGTGTTGTGCTGAGAACAAAGCTTGTTGTCCGCGTCAAAGCAATTATCGGTAAGTTCGGATTATTCTTTGTGGGTTGTTATTAACATACATCAACACGCACATCAGATAGTTTGTAACTAATTTAAATTGTTAACATCCCACAGTGTACTGTGGAGGATTGATTAATTTTAAGTTAGTTTCCTCATGGATCAAGATCAAACAAATAAATATTGGAAGTCTCTAGGTAATGGTCAGCTGTTTCTTTTGGTAAGCCTCAGAAGTGCGAACCCACGACTTCATTTATGAAATAAATGTAATACAACTCAACGTAGTACGGGTTCATTTACTAAACTGCGAGGGTTGATCATATTGTCTAACCCCTTATTTTAAAGTAGCCAGACAGAGTAGAAATTGAACCTTGGCTAATTACATCGAGGTCTTAAACCTAAGCCAAGAAGTCATAAATACCTAATGCTATTTTGGTACAAATTTTGTGGTGATGTTTTCTGTAGTACATTTTCAGTAGAGTCCGATGGACAGTTACGTATTTGGTAACAGTAGCCGAAAATTCAGCCTGTGTGCTTTTAAGTGTATAGAGCGAAACTCCTTAGTCTTTCAGTCACATTCGATGTTAGATCAATAATTTAATGTAATTTTAATGTTTGATGGAGAGGAAAGTAGGCTCCTCACTAAGCTGTCTTTCAGAAAATCTTTATTACTGCTACTGTTCTCATTATTATGATCATTATTACTCATAGTAGTGTTATTCTCGATCATCCTTAAAATGCACATATCGCATTCACAGGTGTAAGCAAGTACAATTAAGTGATAGAGCAAATATTTAACAGCTGAGAAAGTCTTTTTTTCTATGACTTCACTTTCAAAAGTTGCGTAATCGTATTTATATTTAACAAAGTTAGTTAAAACCAATGGTAACGCACTTTGGAAAACTTTCGCACAATGAGGAGAATAATTTGTGTGGGAAAGTTATGGAAGCTCAAGCTGGAAAGATGCATTGCATAATAAGCTTACTTTATGCAATTTAACTTTTGATGATCTTGGAAGTTCGATTCAATGAAAATATTAACTGCTGCTCATTCTATTTACTCTTATCTTTCTCAATTTATTCATACTTAAGGCACATTAACATCAGTGACAATGTACTTACTATTGTGGATTTCCTTTTTTCCACTTCTTGAGTTAGCTACACATACATACACACACGCAAAAACCACGCAGTTACTCTTCAACGGTTGTTTACGGTGAGATTAGAAATAATCGTTTACCTGGGAATTCCAGTGTACAATGTTCTAGACCCTCTTGTAAATTCTAAATAGTCATAGAATGCTCAGTAGAACAAAGCAGATAGTTATTTTTAACATAGAACCAAACATTACTATTTAACAGACTGAAATGCCACATTGGCATAAAGCAGTGGATATAAGCAATCATCAGATCCTATAGTACTTCAAAATCCATATTAGATTTGTTTATTTGGTTTATAACACTGATACTGTATCACTGTAATCAAATAACCAAATATAATATGGAATTACATTGTACCACAGTGCCCAAGTTCTATACATATATTACTTCCAAATTCACCTTACTAGTTTCTGGAAACTCAGTGCCAGCGCTCGTGGACTCGCTGGTGTAGGCATAGGATTGAGTTGTGGAGCAGAAAGTGCGCTTCTCGATTGGATACTACTCAACAGCCATTTATGTGCTGCTCGACTGAATGGATCTGTAAACATGTATTCACTTGTTGACATCTTCTTAAGCTTAAATATTTGTACTGACCATTATTTTCAGATTATTTATTCTCTCATACAACTTTGTCTACTTTGGAATCACTTTTTCTATCCATCTGTTCTTTGTATACTACTGTGAGGTGTGGCAACTTGAGCCGATGCACTTTTGTGCAAGGTTCTATGATGATTTTGTCTGTCTGTAGGTCTCAACTTTACAGCTACAAAGTCAGTTAATATAAATTTTGTATTTAACAAAACCTTGAGCCAACCCCTGAAGGTTATGTAATCAAGATAAGGTAATAAACAGGTAGTCGATAGATACGCTGGTTAATGGGGAAGGTCGATGAAGAGAAACAAAAGATATAGGTATAGTCAGTAGTATAAGGAAAATATACATTGAAAATAAGATTAAAAAATCACTGCGCTACACCAGTGTCTGTTAGATCGCTTATTGAAGGGAAGCGTCTGTGTGACGAACTTTATGAAGGTAATCACCCAGAAATCATAAAATGTAGACAAGAAACCGATTAGTCGGAATGACAGAACCGTCATCAATTAACACATCAATCAAATAGGACGTAGATGATCAGTTTGCAGTCATACATTGTCAAGCTTAAGGAAATACCATGGAACGAAAGCGGCATAGAACGGAAACAATTCAAATGCACTAACTGAGATGATTAATAGATCTCTTGGAAACCTATAACAGTAATAATGGTATCTCGAAGGTTACTCTGCCGAAATACAAATTAGTTCTCGATTGCGTATATACTGCGGGATGTTTCACTGGTTTGTTGAATGTTCATAGCTGACACCAGTGGTGGAGTGCGTTGATCATATCATTTATTCATCGTATCGAATCAATCTTTATAGGCTGGTCATTGATGAAGTCTCCACACCAACAAAATGGGTTCGTTTGGATTTTTTCAGCTTGTGGCATCTCAAGAACCAGTGAGAAATCCATCTGCTCGTCAAAAGAGTTTTTTTTTACCTAACAGCAGACTCCATTCCAATCCACAGCTGTGAAACGCAGCTATCTTCCACCAAGCACTGTTATCTAGCGTAGAGTTGGATTGTAAGAAAGTTAAACATGGTAAGACCATATTAGTTATTTGTGAAGTAACTTAAAGTTGATCTGAGCCGTGTATGAAAGTATAAGCTGTCTGACTGAGATTTTAAAGATGTATTAATGATAGTCTCCTATTCGTCTTTCTTTGCAGAAACTGACCTCGCCATAGGCGATTCTTTAGCCAGACTAGAGTATGCAGATGACGTAGCTCTTTTATTTGGAGACGCTCATAAAATGCAGAGTTTCCCTACACAATAAGTAAGGACTTCAGAATATTTTAGACTCATTTATCACCACCCAAATACGAATTGTTGCTTGAAGACTGACCTGAGTCAATACTTTATTTGAAAACTGGAAATAAAGTGGCTAAGTGTATCGATTCCTTCAATGAATAGGGAAGTTGGATCAATCATGATGTGTCAGTGACTAGTGCACTCTCGGCACAGGTAGAAAAGATTCCATTGGCTTTTGCCAACTTACCGCATCTATGGCACCGGGAAGATATCCAACTGTCTACCAAAGGTCAGTTGTATTGAGCATCTTTTCACTCTGTCCTACTTTATGGTTGTAAAACATGGCTCATAAAGATGGAGGACATGAGAAGGCTTCAGGTAGTCAACCTTGCACTGCCTTTGTTTCTTGGAAATACCACGTTAATTATAGGGAGGAAAAAGCTTCGCGCCATTTCCAATCTGCTGTAAAAACAGCGTTGAAGACCGTAGCTTACTCTCCACTAGTGGTTTCAAAGCCAGTGAATCTCAACCTCTTCTTCTGGGTTAATGGATGTACGCGAATGAATCCCTGCAGGCTATGAGTACTTTGAGGAGCGAATGCTGCTGAAACATTGACTGACAAAAAGTATATTTGATGACCGCGAACATTGGTGCGCAGCAAAGACTGAAGAGATGGTAAAGGCAGCGGCTATGTGTAATAGTAAACATTTACTTGGGCTTATCAAGGAAAATAGGGCGAAAAGGTCAAAGTTAGTGAGATAATATAGGAGGATGATGGGTTTGCGATTCGCTTACAGGGGAGACTACTGAAATTATGGGCAAAGCACTTCGAAAAACAGTTCAACTAACCTCCAGATTCAATTCCGTTGCCAATCGGGACCTGAATGGAACCTCCAACACTTGCAGAAGTTGGGGAAACTGTGGGTAACCTGGAACAAGCAGTACCAGATGGACTAGTTTCAGAGGTATTTAAGAATGATGGTCAGTGATTTTTATTCAGGTTAATTAAAGAGTTGACTAGTATGTGGAAGTTGGACATAATATCTAACTGGTCTTAGTCACTGATTGTCTCAGTCTTAAAGAAACGTGAGAAGTCCTGTGATAAACATAGAGGAATCAGCCTAATGAATATGGTGTCGAAGATTCTAGGTTCTATTATCATTAGACGTCTGAATGGTGCTCGAGAACGGTAAGCTCGAAAAAAGCAGACGGGTTTAAGATCTGGCCGTAAGTGTCTCGACCAGATATTTACACTCCTCCAGGTTCCGGAAAACCTATCAACACCCTACACTAGCTGTATTTCTCGACCGGAAGGTGGCGTTCTACCCGTCGATAGAGAGGTCCTATGGCAGTGTCTCTCACTGAAAGAGATACTCAATCAGTACATCACTATGTTGAAGGTTCTTTACTTGGACGCCTGTGGGGGTATTAGAACCAATGGTGAGTTGTCAGGTGAGCTGTGTACATCGACGGGTGCCCGTCAGGAATGCCTACTCCCTCCATTCCTGTTCAATTTCGTCATAGATGTTCTTATGGAAGTCTGCCTCCTGTCATCTGCCTACAAAAGAGTGGTGTAATTACTGGAGATCTAGAACTCGCAGATGATATAGTTCTGTTAAGTGAAGATGCTGATAAGATATAAAGTTTTGTAGACATCTTAAGTGGCAATGTGAAAATGTTTGAGATGCGGTTCTGGCCACCCAATTGCAAATTTTTGCTCCAGGACTTATCTTCAGTGGTTCCCTATCTAACAACAGATAGTGAATTGGTAAAGTGCACCAATCCTTTCATTTACCTGGGAATTCGGATCAGTGGGTCAGTGACCAACGACGTCTCTTCACGGATACAAGATGCTAGATTAGCTTTCGCTAACTTACGGCATTTGTGGCGCTGCAGCGATGTCCGATCTATTAACGGTCGAGTGTACTGTGCTACAGTTCGCTATGTTCTACTCTATGGCTGTGGAACATAACCACTGAAGATAGAGGAAATCAGAAGGCCTCTGGTGTTTGACCGCCGTTGCCTTCGTAGCATGGGGCGTGTTTTGTGGTGTCATCACCCTAGTAACGCAGATATCAAGTGTAGAGTTTCAGGGAGGAGAGGAAAGTCAGTAGATAAGGTCTTGAACCTTCATCAACTGAGATGGATGGGACATGCATCACGCATGTGTAGACATCGTCTGCCTCGTTGTGCAGTGTTAACTGAAGTAAATCCAGGCTGGAAAAGAGCTCGGGGCGGCCACACTAAAAAACGGCATCATTGCATGACGTCGTTGACTGTTTGTTTGAGCCATGCGGGAGGTACAGACTAGCCGGCTGGGTCCATGGGACACGAGAAACTTGTAGTTGGAGACTATAGAAGATACGGCTCAGAATCGATGTCAGTGACGCAGATGTATACACATATTACCTTCATTTTAACCACTATACTGAATTCAGCACTTTATCATTCTTCCTTCCTCTCTTTCACTGGTTCTACTACTTTCGACCGATTTTTCTCTCCTTCTTCATCTTACTGCTCTGTTACTTGTGCTGATATCAGGTGTGGCAACTTGAACTATTGTGCAGTAATGCCTGATCCTATGTCGAATTTCGGCGTAGTGTTAAACAAAAGAAATAATTTGGATGATGAGGTTGCAAGCCTGCATCAGCGAAAGTTATTAAGTTATGTGTCATGCATGCCAAATCACCGTGTAACCCGTCATGCAATCTTAATTGAAGTATGAGGAAAGACCCAACTGAATGATAAAATCAGCATATGTTTTCACAAATTACTTTCCATACGCATGTGATATTGATATCTTCAAACTGTTTATTCCAACAAGAAAATGTTTTAAACTGAATTACACTGTGATTCGGAAAATCTCCGATACCTTCATATGTGTGTTACCAGAGAATAGAATTCAGTGCGTAAAACTGACCAACTTGAGTGTGGATCTTAGTCGCCGTCTCGTGAAGAGACCAAAAAACCTTGACTGACAGTTTAAAGAATGAAAAGTTAGTTAATCTAGACTATAATCTGGCAACTGGCCAGAAACTTGGCAACAAAGATCAGTCGCATCTGTTTTCTTTCGACATTTTCACAATAAACTCGACTTGAGTTTGATAATTTGCCATAATATTGGTAAACTGTACTTTTGCAAGGTTCTCGCCCAGAGTAGGTAAAACCTAAGAAGCACTCCTCAACTATAAGCATGCCATCAACTTTGTGCATATACCTTGTCCCTCGTATCAGTATGCCATACGAAATTATTGCATCTCTGATTCACGCTGTTGATCTCATTGGATATCAACGGGAAACGCGCTATGAGCACTTGTTTCATTTTACGTGTGTTTGTTCGTACAATTCGAGTGATGTTTAAGCGTCAGGACCTTTTATTTGAATAGGCAAGGAATTAACTGAATGAATCGGTAAGTGCGGATACCGAATAAATGGAAACACTCACCAGCTGTTCCTATCAGCATCTTAGGCCTTACCGAGCCTTGGCAATGTCAGAATACGAAGGCTGGCCTGTGATTATGAACAATGTTTATTAAGATATATATAGTTAAATACAAATTTAAAAGTGTACACACTCATACAACATTGTGATTGAGAAAACTTAACAAAATAAATTTCATAACTGTTATCTACAAATTTTATCCCATTTAAGCCATCAAGAACACATTAACACTGATAATTGATCACTTTGTATAGTTTTTTTTGTAAAATTATATTTTAATCAGAAAAATTATTGGATTCTAATGGTCGAGAGTTGAAACGTTCACTGTTCTCATTGAAACAAATATTTCAGGTAAGCAGCATTCAATAAAATATTGAAAATTATCTTGGTCACGTGTGTCAATTCAAAATTATTTTTATTGATTTAAGAAGTAATTACCAATAAATGCATATCTCTGTCACTCTATTAGGCGTATCAGATACATACATTATTCTTCAGCAATAACGTCATAGACTGCACGGTCAATATATATATATATATATATATATATATATATATATATATATATATATATAATGACAGAAAATATCAAAAATTGCTTGACCATCTTGTGTTATTCATTTTATGCGTTGTTTCGATGCAATAGTCTACCCACCGTACTACAAGGGGTTATCAATTTATTAGACCTCACGATAATTGAAAAGAAACTATAAATTGAAATTTTGAGCACTTCAGTGTTGTTGTGTTATTGCAGCTAATACTGACTTGTTTTGATTCAGTGGGCTGTTTAGTCACTAGTTGGCTTAAACTTGGCATAATCTAGTCTTTATTGCTAACTAATGACAGCCCACAGATTCCTATCGATTTCATTGTATCATCCTACAATCATATGACTTGGCTCAAAGATCAGTTGACATGATCCATCTGTTGTGGCTTTTCACCCAGTGTCCTTTTCGTATATGTGGATTCTTTTTGAAGTCCTAGTCTCAACTAGTAAAATGAAAGCTAACTTTCGCTTCATGTATCGATCTCATTGTCCAAAATACCTAAAATACGATAGGTATAAACCTACTCTACCCTTCTCCCTCTTGTTTCAAAAGTTTTGTTACTGCAGTCACTGAATTATCATCTCTTCAAATCTCCTTTAGCGTTCGAAAGTGGGAAATAACTGAATAGAGCAAAATGTATTATGAAGAGCATATATGCTATTCACTTGATTCCAGCTTTCATCTTCCTTGTGCGCCGTCGCTTTTGTGGATTTCTTCTGTTTTCTCTCAGTATCCTTGTAGATCAGCACATCAAATGATTAATATTTGTTTACACCCTTTAAAGGTACCCAGTTATTTATCGAGTGATGGCTGAATTTGAAGCAGAAGACTGAGTCGCAAAAGGCTTTGAACCAGTGATATCTGAATTACTGACCTGAAGCAAAAAATACCGCTTCGGAATACAACTCACCAACCACGTACATGTTCATGCAGTAGACTGTTAGTCATATTTGTTGTGTGGGAGAGTTAATAATACTATGTGGCCGTATAAACCTCGGCAGATTGAGCGGAGTTTGGAGCCACAACACGCTGGTTGCTGGTTGACGGCCTACACAAATGCGACACAACTCCAACTGACGTTGGAGTAATACCAACTTAAATATGAATACGAAATATACCTATCATATCACTGTGAAGTCGAAAATTTGAGCAAATGCGTATCCACGTTAGTCTTATTAACCTTAACCTGATATGAACGATACAAACACACCAATCAGTTACAAATTTCAAAGTGACCGTTGAATTGCAACACAAATATTTTATAAGAGTTTCAAGAATAGGGAAAAACAATAAGTGGGTCTGCCGGATCAGAATCGCGATGATAACTCCTAAGTACTAGGTAAAGGTGGAACGTAAAAATTTAAAGGGTTGCAATCAAACAACAATTCAGGGGAAAATAAAAGACAGAAGTTAAATAATGACAATTCAGCTCGAGATTGAGTTATGTGGCATTCAGGTTTTTGAAGGGTCATAATCGAACAAGGGGGTAAATATATTAGTTTTTCCTGCACATAAATTTCGTGTCTCATTATTTTATATCTCGATGAAAATCCAGAGAAGTCTTAAATTATGAAGCAGTTGGATATTCAAAACCCAGACATACAAAGGATAAACACTAAGAAAGTGTTGAAATTATTTAAAATAGTAGATTTGTTGGTTTAGTTTCCTATTTTTAGCAGATATGCAAGACCCGCACAAATTGTTTTTAAAGACGAGTGTTGTAGTAATCCAAATGAATTCCCCAAAGCTTCACTTTTTCGTTAAAGACAAGTTTGAAGCCTATGCTAATGATTGACAGGGATGCTATAAGCTATTTCGAAGGCTTTTTTCTCTTCTATTATGCCAGCACTATCTGCCGAATGCAATAGAATGGAGCTTCGTATTAACTCAAATTACACCTTCCGCAGTCATGGAGATAAATATCCAATTACATGTTCAATAAGCTACTTAGCAGTACGCCTAATTTAATTGGATTTTATATGAGAGCAGATAAGTTGGTAAGCACTAACGTATGGGTTCGAGTCTCAGCGGGGACACTATCAGTCCTCGAGATGCGTGCAGATCCAGCTGCACGAAACGTGCATCATCGATTTCATAGCTCACAAACACCAGGTAGAAAAAATTGAGATAATGTCGTGGCATCAGTTCAAGGAGCTCATATGCCTACGGAGAGAGACCGATCAACTCAGTCTAGTATAGGAAATCAAAAGTATCAATCAATAACTACTGCATTTATTCTGCAATGATATTAAAACTTGAATAAATGAAATCTGTAGATTCGGTACTCTCACTTAAAACAGTTGATCATGTTCAAAATATTTTTATAATCTGTCCCAGGAAGTTGTGCCAAAAAGTATTGGTAGATGTTTGTTCCTGACAGATATATTTTTCTCAAAATACCAGACTGTGCAAGATAAAATTATTAATCAACTTCACTGATGTCCTTGTAATAAAGTTTATTCCGACAACCATTTTTTTATATATTGCAATCAATTTAGTGATAAATTCCAAGTAAGTTTTCATCATAAACCGACAGTATTTAGAAAACTGTTGAAACTAAGGAAAATGGATAGCTGTTTTATCTTAATTAGTAACTTGTTAACAGCACTTACAGCTGCGTAAGGAAGCGAGTTCAGGACTATCAGTCTGTTAGCCACCAACTACTGTGTTGGAATGCAATGATTCATATCTTCCAACTTTTGTCGATTTACCATCGGCTTGAATCATTAGGCAGCATCTTTCCTCTTTGGTCGACACTGCACAGTTCATAGCTTCTCCCTAGAGTAGTTCTGGAGCATTCATCTCAAATTTAGTCACTAGCGAGCAGTAATTTTTTTCATTTTGGAGATTTGTAAAGAATTGCCTGTTTTCAATACAGTTTTCATCATGAATCGACATTAGCTTTCTGTTACTTGATGACTTCAATGATTTTCCAGCTTTAAAGTCAATTATTTCTTTACCAACGTGTCAAATAAACTAAGTGGTTAATTTTACTTTAACTAATAAGCTATTGATTAACATCTATTCATACTTTGTTTTCCCTCAATACTTTAGGATGATAAAGATCTTGTACACGAATTTGTTACTCACTCCGGTTTAGATTGTTTAGTTAATGTTGGCTCAAGATCAGACCAAAATATCCAGAATTATATTCTTCGAGGTTAGTCTCAGTGTTGTTGTTTATTTGTAATAAAAACCTACTTAACACTATTGTTGACGTAATGATTTATACTGTATACTTTTCAGTGCTGATATAACTCATTGACTGGTTAAGCACTCAACTTTCAACCAATCGGTCACAGGTTCAAACTCCACTCTGTCTATTTTGGCCTAGGTAACTACAATTAGTGTGGCTGTCATAGGCAAGTATATAAATATGTATTGGGTTAAGTTACTTTCATTTCTGCAAGTTTTAATGTTGATTAGTTAGGGACTTTGAGTAGTATTTCATGGTCGGTTGTACAGCAAATCCACAATAGCTGAATATTTTGATAAAGTAAGAAAAAATTATTCGTAACCTTACACTCATAATGTTCATTGTCGTAAGTCAGTCCTTCAACGTTTGAACAAATGGAACTGACTGTTCTGAGCTGTGATATCGTTGATTTCAATTGCTTTATGACCTATACCTTTTTTGATGTTCCACCTTGTAGTTAAAGCCACAGTAAATAAAAATTAGCCTCTCATAAAAGTTTAACATTAATAGATGGTTAATCAGTTACTATGTTTTAGGATTCCTGCGTACATCAACTAGTGATCTTTATGCATCTATGTGATCAAGATTAAGTTTTCATGTCCTTTTGCTGAATGCCTCGGTTATCTGCGTTGAAATTCGAAGGCTTTTTTAACAATGGTACTGGATGGCAAGATCTACGTTTTTTGCATTGGGTTGTATTAGTTCGAACGTTTTTTCTGGTCAAATGAACTCTGGTTTCATCTCGAGTTCACTTAGTCCGATTCTCCTATGCTTTTACTCTCTTATATGCTTCAAGAGTAGTCATTCTTTTTCGAGCAGTATACTCCCCGCCAGCATTGTCGCTGCTGAACCAAACTCTTAATCCTTTGGTCTATATTGTCATAGCTAAAAATCCTGTGTATCTTTTCGTGTAAGTCGGGAGTGAATGCATCTTAGCACCAGCTAATTGAGCAGATGGGTCAGATTAAGTCCGTGACATACTGGCTGCCTGGTCTCCTGGTTAACTAGTTCACTAGTTACCAGCCGGTCCTAAGCCTGCATAAACAGAGAACTTTGAGCATCGGGTTAACAACCCTACTCCGTTAAACCAATCCAATCGCTAAACAAACTTCACAGCGCGAAGAAAATATTAAAAACAGAAATAAACTTATTACTCACTGGAATCGGGGAGACGAAATGGTTGGTGAAAACCTTCGGGAAACCAGCTGACTGATGTCTTCGCTTCTCTCAATGAAAGTGAAAGTAAACATGAGGATATGGAATGTCCGCACCATGTATGAACCTAGTCAGCAAGGCTGACCAGATTGCAAAAGAGAGGAGGAGATATGGCATGGAAGTGCTTGGAATCTGCAAATGTAGATGGAATGGAAGTGGACTCAACAAACCGTCAACTCGAGGGTCAATAATCTACTCGAATATTGTCATCCAAACGACAACCATGAGCACACTGAGTTAACGAGTGGCTATCATGATGTCCCCCTCACAACAGCATCGAAGGCTGTCTCTCTCTCTCTCCCTCTCTCATGCAGTGGAAACCAATCTCCTCATCCACAATCAGGATCATGACAGCAAGATTCAACTGGAGAGGAAGCAAAGTCACAATCATACAATGCTACGTTACGCTATGCATCTACAAATAATGCAGATCAGGAGAGGAAGGAGGAATTCTACAGACAACTGCAATCACCAATGGACAAGACCATATCCCAGTTGGCGATGGTGACATCGAAATTCTGTTGGGTGGGGTGACATGAATGCCAGCCAAACTGGGTGCAGACAACACAGGAAGCGAATCAATCATGGGTGGAGAAGCACTGGGTGAAATGAATGAGAATAGAGAACAGTATGCAGATTTCTGCACATTCAACGATTTGGTGATTGAAAGTAGTGTGTACGAACACAAGGATATTCACAAAGCGACATGGACAAAAGACTTTCACGACACATTGGCAAGTGAAACAGAACAGGCTGCAGGTAAGAGAGACATAGACCTGACAACACTATATCAACTAACCAAGTTACTTACTATCTGGGAAGAGATCAACACTGCACAGATGAAACCGATAAGAGATAGTGAAGGAAACTTTTGAATCGACCACCACGACCACCTCCTGCAACTCGTCCAGAAATACCACCTGCAGCCCAACCACAGAACTATCAGTGAACACAAACCCTCCGACAGAAGTAGAAGTGAAGTCCGATACCTCATAAAGTTACTGAAATCCGAGAAAGTAGAAGTACCAGATGGAATTTCACCAGCAGCACAGAAAACAGATGCAGAGACAACAGGGGACACGCTCACACCACTACTGCAGAAGATGTGGAGGGAAGGAAAGGTACCCGCTGAGTGAAATTAGGGCTACCTTGCCAAACTCCCAAAGAAGGGCGACCTAAGTATTTGTTTGAACTGGCGTGGAATCATGCTCGTGTCCCTGTCCACCCAAAACAAAATATTGTACAGCGTCATCCTGGAGAGACTGAGAGACGTGCTAGATTGAAAATTACAACCTGAACAGGCTGACTGGCTGACTGTCTTCAGGAAGAAGAAATCATGTGGGAACCAAATCGCTACTCTACACTACACTTCATCATAGAATGGAGTATAGAATGGCAGTCAACACAACTCAACCCAACTCAACCTCAACATGAACTTCATCAACTTTGAAAAGGCCTTGGACAGCGTCGACAGAGAAGTAATCTGGCAGGCAGCTGCTTCAACACTACGGTTTTAGTACCACAAACCTCTATCAACCTCATTCAACAGCTAGCCATATGCTATATGATGCTACATGCCGATTGATTCACAATAAAAAGCTCAGTGACGCCTTTGAAATGCAGGCGGGAGTAGGACAAGACTGTTACCTACTTCACCGATGATCTTCCTGATTGTGGTCTACTGGACCGGACTGGATGATGCAACAGACAAGTGTGAGGAGTGAGAAGATGGGGATACGCTGGGTGTACCGATGAGAAGACCGCAGAAAAAGACTTGGATTTGGCCGGCGATGATGATTTATGTCTGATGTCTTGTCGCACAAACTCGAAGATGTAGAGGCGAGAACCAAGAAGTTGGCAGAAGATACGAGGCAGGACAGCGAGGACGTGACTTCCTTCAGGTGAACGTGGAGGAGACAGAGGTGATGAAGATACCCACTTAATGGAAAACAGCATGAACGACAAGCACCAATCACCATGAACGGGAGAAGCCTAAAGGGAGTAGTCTCTTTCACCTTCCTTTCTACCTAGACAGCATCGTTTCAACTACAGGAGGCGTCGGTGGCGTCACAGATGAGGATGTCAAAACCAGGATCGAAAAGACGGCAAGACAGACCTTCATTAACCTTAAATCAGTGTGAAGGTCTAATGCACTTCACTGCACTGCACTTCACTCAGCATAAAGCGTGAACAAGATCCGGATTTTTAACACTGATGTGAGTCAAGTCAGTCAGTGATTCTATGTGATGGTTGAGAGACTTGTTGCGTATCGAAAAAAATTCTTAACAAACTACAGACAACATCATCAACAGCTGCCTACACTCGATACTGAAGATCAGATGAGCAGAATAATAAGAATAAGGTACAAGGAAGTCTATCTGGCTGACTGGGTGGTTGGCTGGCTGACAACGAACCAAGCAAGAATCTATCGCCCAACAGATATGAATACGAAAGTGGAGATGGATTGGATGTGACATACACTGAGAAGACCGATTGGGTACATTGCACGCCAGGCGAGGCTGTTGAGTGGGATGCAAAGGGGAAATGAATTGGTCGTCCTGGCCGAGGTAGATATGGAGGAGATCATGTGAGGAAGAAATGAAAGCTTCTTGGTAGTCGTGGAGCCAGGTTGAAAAGACTGGAGAGAACAGAGTGAAATAGCGACGTGCTACCGAACCCCTAGGATCCCTAGGGATAAATAATAATCACATAATAATCAAACATGTCACATCTACACCCTCGTAATGCGGAAGGTATAGAAGGTTAATATAACTCCCACTTGTGATTTTCTTACAATAGTTGAATCCGTAGTGTTTCAAATTTCTGTTGCACTGATGTTAACTTTCTTGTTTCACTACGATTCTCACACAATTTTTGTTATTGAGCAAACAGTTGTCATGATTCATATGTTTTGCTATGAACAGCACATCTCGGATTGATTTCGGTGATTTCGAGGCTGATATTCCATTCTGGATATTTGTCAATTTAACCGATGACTTGACTTGATAATTATTTGTAGTCAGTTACTTAGGAAAGAAATTACAATAAACAGAATTCCGTTCTACTTTAGTTTGCTGCCTAGAGAGGTGTAAATTTACGTTGTCCACTTCCAGTCTTCTTATCTTTAAAAAAAGTATCTTTTACAAGACAAGTGAGTTTCTGACATTTTTTTTCATCTTAAAAGTTGTATTTTAAGTGAAATTTCCAATGTGCATTTGTTAATTTTCAATCTACTAAAATTGTTTTTATCCTAATTTTTTGAAAAAAAATACATGAAGCATTGGGACAGATTATGCTGTATGTTGATGGAATGGCTGGAGTTATTGAACACCCGAATATTCTCCGATGGTTGTATTCTCTGTTAACATCAAAGGTAAGTGAGTAACTTTAAGGATTCATTTCAATTCTGGATCGCATCATATTTATTTATTACGTACCTTAAACATAAACGCGATACAGAACAGATACTAAGAAATGCTCCAGAGCTAGTCACTAGTGTACAACCGGTCTAGATTATGGCTGATTCATGTACAGATCTCAGTCTTACAGATGGTCAGTCGTTTACTGAGTGGCTTATATATAAAGTCACTGACTTCACTACTGAATGTTGTAGATTTGAATCACCGAGGGAAAGTAAGTTTTTTCTTGCTACTAGTCACCAAAATGAGCGTACAGGGCTTCCCGCTGATCAGCACCCAACATCTCACACACAAATAAGTGTGACATGAAAAATAATACAATAGCATTGTCAGGATATTAAGCTCATCACACACAAACAAGGTGTAATAAAATGGCCGGGACAGGAAAAGGAGCACGCCTAGCTTCTGTGTGATCACCAACGGTTTCAGTTTTGTTTTATTTTGAAACACATTGGAGCAAACCATTAAGTTGCTCTATCTTAAACACTCCACTCAAGACTTGTAGTGTACAAACCGATGCCAATCAAGCATGACCGTCCTCCAGTCCATGGTATCACATCATGAACTGAATATTTCTGTGCTTTCTTTCAATCAAATTACTAGTAAACAATTATCAATATGCAACCTATCAAGACAAGATAGTATATGAACCTTCCAAGCCAGTATTTGAAGTTGAATTCACTTACTGAGTAACAATTTGCATCATGCTTAAGCTCAATCTTTCAGAATCCCAGACCACTTATGTTCCTGCTGTCAGGTAGGAGTGAATTTAGAAGAACAACCACAATCGAATGTCGAAAGTCTTTATACATCCCATTATCCCTTCTTTTGTTTAAAATAGGAATAGGTTATCTAGGTTAGCTACTGTTGATTATCTCATGCTTTTCTATGTTTGTGTCCATGTTATCTCTCCAGGTCATGTTTCTGATGCAGTCTTCCTACGCACCCACCTTTTCTGTTCGTTTTACACTTTTACTGTATTTGCTATGAGTCTTATTCATCGCTGCCTTTCTACACTTATGATCTTCATTCTGGCTGGCCGTCTTTGTCTCTGTGATTGATATTGTGTACGGATTGGTCTCAATCATTTGGCTAGTCTGGTTGTTGTAGCACTGAGCTCTCAATTTTGATCTTACATTATTTGTAGATTATTTACCGAGATCTTGTTGGTTTTCTTTGTAATCAATTCGGCGATTTTCTCACTGAAACGCCACAGTTGATGGTAGTATTATTATTCTGATTATATTCCTTAATTGCATTACTGGCTTGTTAATAGACCCCAACAATTATTTTCTAAACGTTTAGGGTTCACATGTCATTTCGACCGCGATCTAGCGGTCAAACTTATTCTAAGCCTCCGTATGGTCTAACAAATTCATGCTAACCAAACATGAAGCAAAAGACATGGATAAATAAGTGATTAATCACTATAACCAATACTAATATGCCTTATATGAAGGGTTTCAGGACACTAGTTATCTTCATAAGAACGTAGAAGGCGGTTCCCATTATTTGACCCATCACCACCGATTCCCTAATAAGCAACTAAATTAGTTATTTGAGCCTGGACTCCTTAACTGTACAGGTTAGCTGAAACTGAACAGCTAAAATGATTGTGACAAGCACTCTCAAATTTTTCACCTTGATGACACCTGTTTGAGTTCTTATACATGTGCAAGTCTGAATCCACAGATATTTATTGAACACTTACTTCGTAGTAATACATTGCAGACTACTGTGCAGCATACTCGTCATTTGATAGTTATTCGAATATCTTGCCGACGCCATAAATGACGTGAGCTGAAATGACCATATAAATAAAAGCCATTTTGTGTGCATCTTTATTAGTTGACGGAATTATGTGACTCCACAATCAGAAGAGAGGTATTGTCTGCGTAGATTAACCAAATAAACGCATTAACCAAACTTCTCTGTTTTAGTATGTATTGGATAGTACCAACAATTATTGCAAATCCCTCTTTTACCACGTAGCTTTCCCAGTTATTTCGATATTTTATGACTAATAGCTTTTTACTGCTTTATCAACCTTAACTTACATTGGTCTTAAGAAGGTGTTATTCACCGACGTGTAAAATTTCCTTTTTCCGTTGTCCACATCACTGAAACATACTGATTGATCTTGCTTGGTATATTGGCTCTCTATGTGGATGCTTCAATATTGTGAGGAGTTTCATTACAATATTGATATTAGCTAGCAGTAAAACCTAGGATGTACATTTCTTTTTAATTGCAACTCCACTTAGATGCATCAATATCTTTCAAGGTATAAATGTTCTCGTTGTTACTCAAACGTATTATAGTGAAGTTGCTGTTAGGGCGTTTTTTTCATATTTAAAGCGAGTCATAATCATTTCAAATATTCGCAAAAACACAAGCAGTCATTGAAGTACAAATGAACGAGTCTCGAATCGAATATTTTGGATTATTTCACTAGCCACCGAGAAATCAGTATGATTAACTGATAATTCTGCTTTGCTTATACACATATGGACACATCTTCAGCTGTTCAAAATTGATGTATTGACTTTTATTTCTCCTTTGTTCTTTTTTTCCATCCTGCATGTACATGATACACTTTTCGGACTATTACTGCGTTCCATTATAATAACAACAAACAATTAAACACGTTCAGTTTCGATTAGTAATGAAAACAGCGTTAAAACTACAGTTATTATTTGTCGACTACGCTGAGATGAATGCAATAATTTTTGTAAAATCTGTAGAAGCTTACATACAAATACTCGTAAGTTAATCTAATTGTTTATTTTCTAATCTAACCGTTTTATTACTTTTGATTTCTCAAATTTATTTTCAGCATAGAGAGTATTTAACGTATGTTTGTGACTCATGGATTAAAAGAATATATCGGAGTAAAAGTTATCAAAATGTCAATCACTTGTTGCAGTAGTTGGTTAGAATTTGTTGATGTACAAATGCAGAGGACACTTCATGCACCTCATGTTAATGAATCAACTAGCATTAATCACTAGCTGTCAAATATAACATGTAGACATTATTGAGCAACAGCTGCTTGGGACTTCTACGTGTTGTTTTCAAGATACAGGTGTGATTGTTTGACAGGAGTGTTGTCGATGTGGTTTGAGTAACCTTTTGAATGTGTGTGTGTGTGTTACAACATCATTGATGTGATTAGATGGCATGATAATACCCAACTTCCAAAACTAAGTTTATGGAACACCTACGGAGCCTGTTCACAAGCATTTAACGGGTGTTGACATTTCTTTCAATTCAGTGTGACAGAATTTTAGCTGTTTGACTTATGTATTTAACCCCCAATCACTGTGTAGTTTGCTTAAAAGCTGCTCCATTTATTTGTGTTAACCAGGAGAGATGTAAACAAGGTTATGAGCTACATTCACCCACATTGGACAGGTAGCAGCAGCGCCAGAAGTAATAAATCTTCTTTTTCGGGCATTCAAAGCATAGCAAACCTCTGAAACCGTCGACATCGAAGTCAACAAACCTGTGTTTTAAATGTGGAAACCACTCACACCCTTTCTTTTTCTTCTCTTCCCTCTCACTAAGATGGAAAGCAGAGGATTTTGTTCAAAAATGATCCAGCTAATTTGTACACAATTTTATTGCTATGTTTCTACTTTCTATTACTAAGCGTTCAGTGGTTACTGTGGTATTTTTTAAAATGATCTCCCCCCACTCACTTACTAGTATTGTGATTTTACTAACTATAATCGATATCTCTCTACGCCTGTCAACCGCCTTTATGTGCTTTTGACAAACGTTTATATAAGAGTGGCAGACATTAATTCCATTTTAGAAGTAGTATTCATCATGGACTGACATCAGTTGGGGAACCGTTGAAAATCTGGGAGCATTGGACAGCTGTTTCGTCCTAGTATGAGACTCCTCAGCAATACGCACCCACGACCTGGCTAGGGGTCGAACTCAGGACCTTCAGGTTTCACGGCGAACGCGTTAACCATCCAGCCACTGGGTCGATTTCCAGTGGTTCACAATTTCCAACTTCTGTCAATTCACGACATAGCGCGACTGTCACTCAAGGTCTTCAGTTAGCATCCACTTCACTTCCGACTGGTTGACCCCACAGGTCACGGCTTCTCATTAGAACTTCCTAACATCCATCTGGAAGCAAGTCACTAATGAGCACTATAGAGTAATGTATTCTGAGATGAATGGGGATTTTTAATTTAGAAGTAGTATTCATCATGGACTCACATCAGTTGGGGAACCACTGATGTCAGTCTATGATGAATACTGCTTCTAAATTAAAAATCCCCATTCATCTCAAAATTCCATTTTAGTTAATTTACTAGTTGTATCACAGTGGAACAGTATTATTTACTGGATTACGTTTCAGATATGTTTTGCTGTGCATAGTCATATCAAGATCTCTCCACAACTTTGAGACATGGTTTATGTAGTTCTAATTTTCCCGCCTCCTTGGTGATATAGGTCGTAGGATTTTCCGTATATCCCAAACAAGTTGTAAATCATTCCTGTCGCATGCATAGGTGTGGATTCGATTAACAAAGATAAACTGATAGTGTATTATTATATTATTTTATTTGTCCCTTGGGTTCCTAGTGGAACATAGGGCTTCAGTAGCACGTCTCCAGTGCACTCTGTTCTCTGCAAACTTTTGAACCTGGCTCCACGACAGCCCACAAGCTCTCATTTCTTCCTCACACGATCTCCTCGATGCCACCCTCAGCTCTAGGATGACCAACTCGTCGTTTCCCACCGGAGTTCCACTCGAGGGTCTGGCCTGGTGCATGATGTCCCAGTTGGCCTTCTCAGTGTATGCCCAATCCAATCTATCTCCACTTCCTTCTTCCGCATATTTGCTGAGCGATAGGTTGTTGGTTGGTTCGTTGTCAGCCAGCCAGCCAGCCATAGTTCCTTGTTGCTTATTCTCTCTGGCCATCTGAACTTCAGTATCGAGCCAGCATAGGCAGTTGTTGACGATGCATGTCTGTAGTTTGTTGGGAATGCCTTTCGTAACGCACCAAGTCTCTGAACCATCACACTGAAGCACTGACTTGACGTTGGTGTTGAAAATCTGGATATTGTTCCGCATGCTAAGTGCAGAAGATCTCCACACTGGTTTCAGGCTAATGAACACCTGTCTTGTTTTCCTGATCCTGGCTTTGACGTCCTGGTCTGTGTCGCCATCTGTAGTTAGAACAGTGTTGCCTAGATAGGTGAAGGAGGCTACTTCCTTTAATTTTTCCCGTTGATGGTGATTGGAGCTTGTTGTTGTTGTTGTTGGTGTTGGTTGGGTATCTTCATCACCTCTGTCTTCTCTACGTTCACCTAAGGGAGGTCCCGTCTTCGCTGTCTCACCTCTTCTGTCAACTTGTTAGTTTTCACCTGTAAATCTTTAAGTTTGTGTGACATCAGACACAAGTTATCAGCGAAATCCAAATCACCTGGGATCTTTTCCCCGGTCCAGCTAGCGTATTCCCCTCTTCTCCCTCCTCACCGTTTGTTGATCCAGTCCACTACAATCAGGAATATCATGGGTGATAGTAGACAGCCTTGTTTTACTCCTGTCTTCACTTCAAAAGCATAACTGAGCTTCCCATTGTGAATTACAAGCTGATAGTGTGATTTAAGCGAATACTAGTATATTGTATCGATGCTTAAATGAGCCTGTACAATAATCTAATTCAGCTTAGTAACAAAAAGGTTATGAGCCACACCACTTGGTTGCCCAAGTTTAAGTAAGTGAAGTGAAGTTCCAGGTTCATACGTATTTACTTATAACGTTAATTATGTCTACCTGTTCAACCTTCGAAATTCTGGTTTTCATTAGCCCGCATAAGTTATGATGATGATGCAATCACCTGAGTTTGACTAGGTATGATGTGTATAATTTAGTTTTTCTCTGTTAAGTTTATTGAGTACTATGCAATCTTCTACATATTTTAAATATAGTAGCGATGCATAAATATATTCAATATTTTATGATATATATCCCACTGTACCTCATTGGTCGAAATAACTAGAGAGAGAGAGAGAGAGAGAAGTAGATGAAATTTTTGGTAACTACTTTTCAACATCTCACCAACAGTAAGTAGTATCATAAATATATACTTTAAAATATTAAATTGTCTTTAGTGTGACAGCAAAATCAAGCCTATCCGTTTATGATGGACCTGTGGCCAGTTGACTTAAGCGCTCAAATTTCAACCGATCTGGGTCATGAATACTAATCACAACTCAGCTAACGAGGTTCGGACAGTCAATCAGGTAGTAGTATCATTATCTATCCACCTTATCTAAGTAATTGATAAATTTATTTTTTGTGTTAGTTACTTCTTGCTAACCAGTTACAATATTTGATAATGTTACCATCAAAAATCTAACGAATACTCATTCATTCATGTAATTTACTCGAAGTATTTATGTATTTATATCTTGAAGGCAGCTGATATTGAGATTATGTAGTGCAGTATCTAATATCAAGAACTGCCTACAACATCTCTTAATTATCATGTGAAGGTAAACTGAACATATCTGACAGAACGAAAATGAATTTGTTAAGAACAAAGCAGAAAAAGTCTGGCGTCAGCAATCGTCAAATAAGCATAACAGTAGGTAAATAGATTTGGAGATCAGTTCTGTCAGATTAAGGATTCAATCAGAAACATAGAAAATTGACAAGAAATATTATTCAGCTTAGTTTCTGATTAGTAGTTGATCATAATTAACTCTGAGACAGACAAAAGACTGATGACTATAAGAGTTCCCATACTGTGGTTGTTTCACTTATCGGATTGCAACACCCTTAGTGGAACGAATGAATTTTGAATCTATCCAGCTGTTTCATAATTTGTGTTCTGTGTCCTGCATGTGATTAGTGAGCCTAGTTTTATACACATTTTAAGTGAATAATTTCTTCAAGGATGATCATTGGAGATGAGTGGCACAACATGCTATCTGTATTTTTTCTCAGGTGTCTTTTTAGTACTTTGGATTTTCTGGGAACTCATAGAGACAAATGTAGACTTAAGTCAATGTTGTTATGAGACTTTAAATACTGAGATGATTGTGGTATCTGTTGAGCATACTCGGCTACTGCATACCTCTGTACACAAGGTTTGTTGGAGTCGAATAAAGTTGAGGTGGAGTTAGGTTGGTTTGGTTAATGCCCAAAGACTATTTTGTGTAGATAAGGCTTCTTGGCTTACGTTCTTAGAATGCTAAGACCAAGTGTTTCTGGCCTTTGCTCCACAATTCATCGTAATAACGTAAATACGCTTCCTTTTGATTATCTTCAAAACTGAAGATCTTAATAACTGTCTCTGTCACGCACGTTATATGCTTCTCTCGATTTTTTCTATTTGAGCTATGATAAAATGTGATAGCTGAAATCACTGTATCGTAAGCGAGGTTCTACATGTGACAACTTTTCTCAAGAATATCGCTTAGTCCCTAAGTCTCACATTTCGTTTCATTGACGTGTTCAAAATGATACCTAATACTGGTGAACAAAAGTGAGAAAACAACTTTGATTTCGCATCAGTTTTAATAGGTGTCACCTTGAGAGTCACATCTTCTATAACTGCAAACATGCATACGTTTTATACTTCTTTTATCCGTGCTATTTGAATGAACTACAATATTAGTAATCACTATTTCCCTCTGTCTGATCCACTTTTCATACATCACTAACTTCGCTGTTGGAGTAAACTAGTAGGGGTGATTAATTTGGTACTTATACTCCAGTTAGGTAACCAA